ACGAACACTTAAGTCATATGTTCGCAACAAAAATCGTCCAGAAGGTTCAATTGTAGAAGGTTATTTGGCAGAGGAAAGCCTCACATTTTGCTCACGATACTTGAAGAATATCTCAACAAAGTTCAATAAACCAACTAGGAATGACGATGGATATGTGTCAAATGATGAGATGTATATCTTTAAAAAAAGTGGGCTAACAAAGGGTGCCTCAGACGGCATCAGGCTATCTCATGATGAGTTTAAATAAGCATGTATGTATATGCTTCAAAATTGTGAAGAGGTTTCGCATTTCATGGAGTAAGTCTCTTATTAACTTCAAGATAGTTTCACATTGAGATAATTTGAATCCGATTTATCTTAGCTAACTTAAAATGTAGGGAATATACAAGCGAGATTGAAAGCCAAAGTTCAATGAGAGCTCATAAAAATGGGTTTCTTGATTGGTTTTGCGCACGTGTAGGTGTCTACTCAAATGATAATGTTGAAGTTAGAATTGAGAAATTCTATGGCTCGGATCTTTAGTATTCTCTTATTTATTACCTGTGTCTACTATTTAGGCAGAATACCCTCACCCATTCTTACTAAGAAACTGAAAGAAGCCTCAAAAACAGAAGAAAGGGTGGAAAGTGAGGAAGAAAGAGATGTAGAAATAGAAACAGCTTCCGAAATGAAGGGGACTAAACAGGAACAAGAGGGATCCACTGAAGAAGATCCTTATCCTTCTCCTTCCCTTTTTTCGGAAGAAAGGTGGGATCCTGACAAAATCGATGAAACGGAAGAAATCCGAGTGAATGGAAAGGACAAAATAAAGGATAATTTCCACTCTCACCTTACAGAGACAGGCTATAACAATATTAATACTAGTAATAGTCCAATTTATGATTATGAGGATTCTTATCTGAATAATAATAACACGGGCAATCCAGAAATTTTGAAATTGCAACTGCTTGATAAAAAAAATGAAAATAAAGACCTCTTCTGGTTTCAACAACCTCTTGTGAGTCTTCTTTTCGATTATAATCGATGGAATCGACCATTTCGCTACATAAAGAATAATCGATTTGAACAGGCCGTAAGAACGGAAATGTCACAATATTTTTTTGACACATGTAAAAGTGATGGAAAACAAAGAATATCTTTTACATACCCGCCAAGTTTATCAACTTTTTGGAAAATGATAAAAAGAAGGATACCCCTATTGTCATTCCAAAAAACGCTCCCTAATGAACTGGACAATCAGTGGATTTCTACCAACAAAGAAAAAAGTAATAATCTGAATAAGGAATTTTTAAATCGACTTGAAGTTCTAGACAAGGAATCTTTTTCTCTCGATATACTCGAAACAAGGACTAGATTGTGTAATGATGATACTAAAAAAGAATACGTGCCTAAAATGTATGATCCTTTGTTAAATGGACCATATCGAGGAACAATCAAAAAAAAGTTTTCACCTTCAATCATAAACAAAACTTCGCTAGAAAATTGGAAAGAGAGAGTTAGAATAAATAGAATTCATACTATCTTTCTTCCGAATACTGATTACCAAGAATTTGAACAAAAAGTGGATACGGTTGATAAAAAACCATTATCAACAGAAATTGACGAGTTCTTAACTTTAATCAATGAATTTGGTAACGAACCAAAATCGAGTTTAAATTTGAAAGACCTTTCTTTATTTTCAGACCAAGAACAGGGAAGAGTGAATTCAGAAAAAAGAACGAAATTTGTAAAATTTGTATTCAATGCAATTGATCCTAATGGGACAACATCTGAAAAAAAATCGATTGGAATAAAAGAAATCAGTAAAAAAATACCTCGCTGGTCACATAAATTAATCACCGAATTGGAACAACAATCGGGCGACTATCAAGAGGGCGTACCACTGGATCATCAAATTCGTTCAAGAAAAGCCAAACGTGTAGTGATTTTTACTGCCAACAACCAGAATAACGATCCTGATACCAAAGATACTGATACCAAAGATACTGATACCAAAGATACTGATACCGCAGATCAAGATCAAACAAAGGAAGTGGCTTTAATACGCTATTCGCAACAACCAGATTTTCGGCGAGGTATAATCAAAGGCTCTATGCGGGCTCAAAGGCGCAAAACAGTTATTTGGAAACTCTTTCAAGCAAATGTGCATTCCCCCCTTTTTCTTGACAGAATAACCCCCCCCCTTCTTTTTTCTTTTGATATCTCTGGACTTATTAAACCAATTTTTCGAAATTGGTCAGGTAAAGAAGGAGAATTCAAGATTCTAGAGTCTAGAGAAGAACAAACAAAAAGAGAAGAAAAAAAGGAAAAGGACAAAAAAGGGGAGAACAAAAGAAAGGAAAAAGCACGGATAGAGATAGCAGAAGCCTGGGATACCATTCCTTTTGCGCAAATAATAAGAGGTTACATGTTAATAACTCAATCAATTCTTCGAAAATATATTGTATTACCTTCATTGATAATAGCCAAAAATCTCGGGCGTATGTTATTCTTGCAACTTCCTGAATGGTCTGAAGATTTGCAGGAATGGAATAGAGAAATGCATATTAAATGTACTTATAATGGTGTTCAATTATCAGAAACAGAATTTCCAAAAAATTGGTTGAAAGATGGCATTCAGATCAAAATATTATTTCCTTTTTGTCTGAAACCTTGGCATATATCTAAACTGTACTCCTCNTACTAATGAAGAAAGATTGTCTCATCGACCTGAAGATGTTGAGCTTGAGGACTGGAAATACCTAATACAATATTTTGGAAGTCCGGAATTTAAGGTATTAACTTAATACCTGAAGATTGTCTCTTTGAATGATGATTTATTAATCTGTTTATTTACAGGTTGTAAGTGAGAGGAACAAAAGAAATAGAGAAAAACAAGTAATTAAGCATACTTGTGGTACAAAGTCTTTTGCAGAAGTAGAGGAATCTACGGTAAAAATATATTTAATCCCCTACTATCACATATGCTTCTTTGTTATTTACATATTTATATATTTGCTTATATAGAGAAATCCTATTATTGGAGAATTGGACACACCAGATAAAGTTTGGGAGATCCAACATACACGCAAGGATGATAGAGGAGAACTGGTGTGGTCGGATTCACAATCCCAACAAATTCATGTAATCTAAAAACACTTATAAAGTTCTCTGTTTCTGTAAGTTTCATTTAATATGTTTTATTATGTTTTGATTTAAATGATTATGCATAAATGCAGGGTCAACTCCAGGAAGTTGTCGCTCAGCAACAATCTGAGGATATCGAGCATCCCATGACTAGAGATGAGATTTTATCCTCCGTTGTTGGTGAGAGAACAGGCTATGTTCGTGGAAAAGGATACGGAAAGAAGCCTCCTAAAAAGAGTAACATTCAGCAGGCAAACATAGAGGCCAGCGTGTCTTCTGCTATTGATATTGTGCGTCAAGAGATGTAAGCCGAGATGGATAGGAAGTTGCAAGAAGAACGTGAACAAATGGCTGCTGAGTTGCGAAGAAATATGGAAATTGAATTGGAAAGGAAGTTGGCAGAGGAGCGTCAACACGCAAATGAGGAGCGTCAACACGCAAATGCAGAAACAGACAAGAGGATCTCTCTAGCAGTGGAGAAGAAGATGCATGAACAATTTGCTAGTTTCTTGACCAAAATGCAACAACAACAGGTACTTGCTCCGCTCCTTCTTAACAATTCTTCTTCCTTCTCGAAATTTCTTCTTCCTTCCTTCTGTAGTGACTTCATGTTTAGGGTTTTAGTAACCACCGGGCATTGTGGTGTACTCTATGATGGTAACCTTCTGATTTTGCTGTTGGACTGCCTTGGCTTCACATTGATTGTTGCCCTTTTGAGGTTGCCACTGAACTTTCTTTTTGGATCTATTTCTTCTGTTAACTTGTTGAAAAGGCTGTTCATTTGCTTCAATATAGATATGTTCATTTGCCCTTCTGTTAACAGTATGTTCATTTGTTGAAAAGGCTGTTCATTTATTTCAAATTCTCAAGTTTATCTTTGTCTATGATGTACATTATACTTATGCACGGCTTAACTCATTCTTAGAAATAAGCTAGAGGGAGCTCCAGTTTGTTATGCCAAACAATTCACTGATGTTGTCCAGTTTACCTCGTTTTCTGTTTTCACCAACTCCTTGAGTGTACAGTCTTGGAGGATGCATAACGATTTACTCAATTAACTTTCTTTTATTCTTTGTGAATTGAAACAGAAAAAGTTGTGCTTGACTTTGACACTGTCCCATTTTCAATCAAATGTTACTAAATGGATTGCACAAATCAATTTGCTGTTATATGTAGTCTTTGATTTTCCTTTCAAGGATCTGGTGCCTCTTTCTAGTTGTGCCAATGCTTGGAGGCAAAACAACTGATTGTTGCATTAATCCTGAGCTAGTTAAATGCATTTTACATGGTGTTATCAATGGCATTATTGTTGTATAATTGCCCGAGCCATCTAGTGCTAGTATTGCATTAGGAGGTTGGGTTATTTGTTGGCATCCTCCGTAGCATAAAATAGTTAACCAAATCATGACAAAAGTAGTAGCGAAGCTCATTGATACAGTTAGTAATACTCTTGAGAAGGTCGATGACTGATATTTTCTTCATTGTTGAAGTCTTTAATTTGTTGATGCGCAAATTTTATATATGAATGATGCCTTATAGTGACCTCTATTTTGAGTAATTGAAGTGCGAGCATCTATCTTTAGCATCTGCCCCGGTGAATCTTCCCTATATAGAAACACATTTTCTATTTTTGGAACCCATGTACTAATGGACATATGGAATAGGTAGTTTTACTTCTATGATAGTGCATGTGCAAGAATGTGCATGTGCATGTGCAAGAATGCAGTAACAATGGAAATATGGAAATATGGAATAGGTATTTTGAATAGTTTTACTTCTATGGTAGGCTTCCATATTTTGGAACCCATGTACTAATGGAAATATGGAATAGGTATTTTATATAGTTTTACTTCTATGGTAGGCTTCCATATTTTGTTTACCTGATAGTGCATGTGCAAGAATGCAGTAACAAAACATTGAGATTAGGGTTCATGCAGTTTTGGACTGTCTTGGTTGTTAATGCAGATTAGTTATTTAAGTAGGTTCAGTGAATGGAAAAGTATAAGCACATGAAATATTTGTGTTTAAAACAGAAGACTAGTAGCTGATGGTTTGCCAAAGTAAAAAACATCAAGGGTTGTCCAAACAAGAAGACTAGTAGCTGCTGAAATATTTGTGTTTAAAACAGCTAAAGGAGCAGCTACATTTGCAGCATTAGGTGCTCCTCCATTGAAACCTGACCAACCCATCCAAAGTAGCCCTGCTCCTGCAAGCATTAGCAACACATTGTTTGGTGGAAACCTTTCCCTATCACTCTTCAATCTTGGCCCAACCTGAGATCAATATATCCAACCGTTAATGCAGATTACTTATTTAAGTAGGTTCAGTGAATGGAAAAGTATAAGCACATGAAATTGGGTAATTAAGACTAGGACAGGGTAGAGCTTAAGTTAGAGGAGGCTTTTATTCCTCTCACTGTCCAATACATCTACTTTATCCGGGTTTCGTGCAACTGTTGTATTCTCATTCTTTTACTGCCTGAAAACTTATGTTCTCACAGTTGTGCCATTTCATTTCAGAATTGAAATAGCATAGAACAAATTTACTTTGTGTTATACTAATGTACTAGCTTGTACTTTATTCGTCTATGCATGTTTTTGGATATAACAAATCTCATTATGTTCCTTATATATATTACTTTTGTCTAGCAGGGACATGGCACTTAAACAGTGGTATCGTTCAAGGATGGTGTGGAGCAAGGAGTAGTTACAAGGCACTTAATATTTTGTCTTTTTTGGAATATGTATATGCGTACAATTAAAATGCACAATGAAGTGTCGGGTAGTATATATGTAATTGACTTTTTAGTAATGATACTATTTATAATATTCGGCTTGAGAAATTCTTTTGGTGTTTGTCAAGCATTATTGGTTGCTTTAATATTGATAGTTAATTGATATAAATATTTCTATATGAAATTTTAGAGAATTAGGTTCCTACTGGCATGGAAATGTATATAATTTTGATCGTTATAATTGCTGAGAAAATAACTTTTAGTGGCGATATAGTTTTGTCAAAAAATTAGTAATTGTTGCGATAATTAAGTTGCCACAGAATGTCAATTTCTTTTACAGCGACTTTAGTCGCTACAGAACATTGTTTCTTTCATGGTTAAAACTTTTGTCGCCACTAAATGACATTTATAGTGGCGACATAATCTTGCCACTGAACATAAATATTTTTTGTGGCAACTACTAAAGAACATTTATAGTGGCGACATAATCTTGACACTGAACATAAATATTTTTTTGTGGCAATTTTAGTCGCTACTAAAGAACATTTATAGTGGCGACATAAACTTGCCACTGAACATAAATTTTTTTTGTGGCAATTTTAGTCGCTACTAATGGACATTTATAGTGGCGACGCATCTAATATTTGTTCTTATGGAACAATTTTTTGTATCGTTTTTTCCAACCTTTTGTGGCAACTACGTCGCCACAAAATATGTTCTATTAGTGGCGACTACAAAACGTCACCACAAAAAACCTTCAGTCACCGGTTTCCTTGTGGCAATACAAAAGTCGACACTAATACCTTTTAGCAGCGACTCTTAGGGATTTAGGGTGATTTCTTGTAGTGCTCGGATCGGAGTTTTTATAGTTCCATTAGGTACGGATGGTGATTTTGGACTTAGATGAATGCCCGGATTTGCACTTAGATATTTCTAGAAGGTTTTGGCACTATTTGGCGAAAGTTGAAAATTTGAAGGTTTGAAAAGTTCATAGGTTTGACCGGGAGTTGACTTTGAAGTTATCGGGCTTTGATTGTTATTACGGAAGTTGGAATATGCTTGTTGTGTCATTTGGAACTTGTTTACAAAATTTGAGGTGATTCTTACTTGTTTAGAAGTATTATGTAACACCCTAAATTTTTTAGACTAATATTTGCATCAATTGGCCATCTTTATAACTAGGACAGATTTACTTGGAACTTCCTAATCTTGAATTTGACGATATAGGAAAATTGCTTAATCTAGATTGTGTTAATTTGTTCAATGAAGTTTCATGGTGTTGCTATGTTTAACACTTAATATCATTTTGATAAATTGTTATGAAATACACTAGAGGTGTGTTTGGTATGAAAGAAAATATTTTCTAATTTTCTCATGCTTGGTTGGTTTATATGTTTTGAAAAACATTTACCTCATGAACTCATCTTCCTCCAATTGGAGGAAAATATTTTCCTTATCAAAAGAGGAGAAAATATTTTCCAAAACTCTTTTCAACCTTCTCTACCATATTTGTAACGACTCGGCCGGTCGTTTTGAGCCCTAGCGCGCTGTTCAGCAGTTCGAGGCCATGAGCAGCTTCAATTCAGGTATTACGACTTGTACGCATGGTCGGAATTGAATTTCGGGAAGTTCGGGGTTGATTCGGAAGGTGGATTTTCATTTCGGAAGCTTAAAGTTGGAATAATCAACTAGGGTTGGATTTTTGGAGTAAACGACCTCGGAATTGGGATTCGAAGGCTCCAGCAGGTTTGTATGATAATTTCGGACTTGGGCATATGCCCGGATCGGGTTTTGGGTGACCCGGGAGCGTTTTGGCGCCTATTGTGGAAGTTAGCATTTTGGAAGAAATTTTATAAGTTTGGGTTGAAGTGCATTTCAGTGTTATCGATGTCCATTTGAGATTCAGAGTTAGGGAGTAGCTCCGTATGGTGATTCTAGAGTTGGGAGCGCGATCGAAAGTGAATTCGGAGGTCCGTGGGTCATTTTGGAGTCATTTGGCTAAAGATAGAAATTTGATGGTTTTTGAGAAGTTTGCCCGGAAGTGGACTTTCTGATATCGGGGTCGGAATCTGATTCCGGAAGTTGGAGTAGGTCTGTAATGTCGAATATGACTTGGGTGCAAAATTTGAAGTCAATCGGACGTGATTTGATAGGTTTAAGCATCGAAAGTAGAAGTTTGAAATTCTAAGGTTCATAAAGCTTGGATTGGAGGTCGATTCGTGGTTTTAGCGTTGTTTGATATGATTTGAGGCCTCGAGCAACTCCGTAATGTGTTTTGGGACTGGTTGGCATGATTGGTTGGGGTCCCGGGGGCCTCGGGTGGATTCCGGGTGGTTAATGGATCGAATTTGGAATTTTGGAGATAGCTGAAGGGGTCTGGTTGCTGGTATAACCGCTTCTGCGGAGGATTTACCGCAGAACCGGCCCCGCAGAAGCGAGGAAGGGAACCGTAGAAGCGGTCAGACGCGAAGAGAGCTGGGACCGCAGATGCGGTCATTTTGCCGCAGATGCGGGACCGCATCTGCATTAGAAAGGTCGCAGAAGCGGAAAAAGGGGGGCCTGGAGGAAACCGCATAAGCGGAAGGTTGGCCCGCACCTACGCAACCGCAGAAGCGGTCATAGGATCGCAGGTGCGAAAAGTGCTGGAGGCAGTGGTTCTCTTAAAAATCGGGGGTTTGGTCATTTGCCCCTATTTTTCATTTGGTGTGGGCGATTT